GGATGCCCAGCCACCTGCCTGAAGACGCAACCAAGCAGGATCCCAAGGCAGAGACGCTCCTCTTACTAGCCAGACCACGCTGGGGAGGTAGGGACGTAAGAGGAGCGATCGGAAGGGCTACATCAATTCAGCTCAGCCTGACCACAGCTGGCAGGGGAGAGAAGAGAAGGTACCACAGGCATTTAGAAGGGCCTGATGGGGGAGAGCCCAGGGAGGAAGCAGACTTACCAGGGGTAGGACAAAAGTCTAAGAGGAATGGAGTGAAACTATTTGCTTCAGTCACTGATTAGACTAGAAAAAGTTCATGGAGCCACACTGCAGAGTAGGGTTGTTAACACGTGATCCTTACTGGGTCTGGTTAACTGGTAGGGCTGGAACAGCCCCCCCCCCTGTGACGTAGTGGGGGTACCTTGCTGGTGGCTATGCTGGGCAGTGGGCTGTGGGTGACCTCCACTGGCTGCTGCACGGCCCAGCAGGGCAGGGGATGAGTCATTATGCAAGGGGGCTCCGAACCTGTCCGACCAGTTATCTCCCAGGGAGTGGAACATGGGAAGAAGGGGAGTGGAGCCCTGGCTGGGGGCAGGGCTGGGAGTGAGGGAGTTAGTTAGTTAGATCATGGAGGAAGCAGCCTAGGCAAAATGTCAGGAATAATAAGAAACAGCAGTCAAAAAGGAATTTATAATATAATTTTAGAGAGCTTACTCTATTGAAATGACCATGTTCTTACTCTCCCCTAGCTTAAGTGTTCCAAAGTTAGTCACTCTCGACACCTCCAGGCCTCCTTTGTCTCTCATTAGATTTTCATATGGCTCATCTAAGTCCATTTCACTAGCAGCAGATAGACTGTAAAAGTCATAATGAAACTCTGCAGAGAACAATTCTGTCTCGGCTCTGGAGCAGGGGGATCTGCCTGGGAGCCCTCTGGTTAGGGAGGCTGGAGGGCAGAAGAGCCGAGTCTGGGCAACGCGGGCGAGGAAAACACCACAGCTGCTTGGTTCAGTGTGGGAGGCAGAGAAAAGCAGTGAAGACAAGTCCCCCGTATAGTTGCACCAAGCAGCTGCGCTACTCTATAAGGACCGTGCAGGGCATTTGGATCAAACATGCCTTTAGGGCAGGTCCTTCAGCCCAGAGGTGGGCAATCATTTTGGAAGGGGGGGGGGGCTTTCAC